ATATGAATCTTTTATTTTTCCCTTTCTACCACGAGCTTCCTTCTCAACAGCCTTTTCCATGTTTCTTTCTATTATTCATTCATTGGTTTGAGTAATACATTCATACTGTAATAGAGGTGAAAGGGGAGTTTAATTATATAATCTTGACAATGGCAATAGGATTAAGAAGTAATCCTTACTAATAAAGTGGTGTGGGTTAGAAATGAAGTGGAAATTGTCAGGGGTCTTCTACAGGACCTGGATTGCCCCAGCTTCTGCATCTGTCTGCTTGCCCTGTAATTGAATGTCTGCGAGTGATTGAAAAAATGTTATTTCTCCTCTGGATTACATGCTAATGTACAGGGGGCAAAGGGAGACAGCAAAAGAACACATAGCTTCTTATTTTGTCCATTTGTGGGGGTGAGCTTTGGGAAATCATGGCAGTTCCGCAGCTATCTCATGCCCATCTGCAGACACAATGTATTTGTACGTTGGGAATAGAGAGCAAAGCTGCTCTGATCTCAGCAGAGCATCTCTTCTTTTGTCCTAGTGGCACACATTGAGATTGATGCGAGATTAAGGACCATCACCCTTCTAACAATCGATGGAAATAACAATTCATCTGAATTTTTTGTCAGTTATTCTCACGTTGATTACCTGAACGTGTGTACCTCATTTATAGATGCTTTATTAAAACAAAATTGTCTATGTCACTTTAGTATCTTCCTCTGTTTTACAAAAGTCAAATAATACTGCAGCCATGTAACTTCATTTCCTTGCCTCTTAATCAGCTGGATGACAAACATAACCTGTTTTCGTTCTGTGTGTGTTAGTTTATATAATGCTGAACCTATTGTTTTCAGTAGTAGTCTGATTTGTCCCTGTGATAAGCCCTGTGGAGATGTGATTATTCCAATAAAAATTCATTCAGTTGGAAACCAACCCTCCAGCTGTTTACTCCCACAGTCCCTGAGCTACACTAACACTGTATGGAATCCTTGAACAATATTTAATGTGGAATCAAAAGCATCTTTAAAACATTGTACTTTAGGCTCTATAACATTGTGTAACCTTAACAATAGATTTCCAGCATCCATGAGGGAACACTTTGCAGTTAGACAACTTTGAGCCTTGACTGCAGCGTTCATCTTTGTGAAATGCTATCAAAACTTCTCAGTAACTAAAGAACACATCAGACAGTAAGATTCTGAGCGTTCATGTGTGCACTCTCTATATTTCATGTAACAGAAGGTGTGCAACTCTTGGAGTTTCTTGGACAGAAGATGTGTCTGAGTAAAAGCTGAAGACTGCCATGCTAAAGCCAGCTCTGTGTAATGTATGCAGCAGTTTGCAATTGCAGCTGCCTCAGTGTTCAGCAGCACAGAGACACTGCAAATCTGTTACATATGTTCTTTTCCGGGACAAAAAGGGGTTTGCTCTGTAAGGAAGAGCTCTGTTCTTTGCTTTATTTTAATGTCCTTGGGCCTGAAAAGTGAATAATTTGTACTCGCATTCCTTTCAGTTTCAACATTGTTGGTGTTTTCCTGCTTTGGCAGGTCCAGTGTCCCTCAGCACACCAGCTCAGCTTGTGGCACCCTCTGTAGTAGTGAAAGGCACCCTTTCCATCACTCTTTCTGAGCTCTACTTTGAGGTGGATGAAGAAGATCCTAGTTTTAAGAAAATCGACCCAAAGGTAAGAGATCATTGACCCTGAGGTCTGAGAGATGATGACAAATTACCCAAGACCTTTAATTCTTCACTTGACTTCCTTTACCTCTATTGGGCTGCAGTGTTGCTGCTTTAATAACTTTGCCACTGACCATATATGTTGCTGAACTTCACATAGGTGACACCTCCTTTCCTGCTCCTTTTTCTCTCCCTCCCACAATTCAACCCTACTTGAATGTTAATTAGCTTGCTGGGAATAAAGCTCCAGGGAGACACGTCTGAAATAAAGACATCCTGAATCACTGGCCTGTATGAATACAGGGAAGTTCAGTGAGGCTTTTAGCCTTAATACGTTGTTTTACTTTCCTGATTTTAGCAAATGTTAGTGTAAAACAGCACTGAACTTCCCACACTCCTAAGTTTGCAGTGGTCCTGTCATATTACTCTCTAACACATTTTACTCGGCCCGTTATTATTTATTGTGCCTAAGCATAAAACATAATTGCCCTTCTAAAATATGTTTCTGAGCTGACTTGATAATTTCCACAAACTTTATTTGCTCTGAGTTGCTTGATTACTTGTCTTCTGATTAAAATTAGTAGCCTTCAATAAAATTCCAATTTCAAAGGGAGCATATCATGCAGTTAGCTTAATAATGTTGCACTTGAATGTTTTCTGCAGTGTTACAGCAACATTTTCAAAGTAGGACACAACTGGTAAATATTCTCTCAATTTAAGCATAGTCACGGCTCTTGGTTTTTTAAATACCTGCCTAATGTTGAACTGGGTAATAATTTCTTTGGGAAGGGTACTGCTGGAAGGAGTCGTGGTTTTCTACTTGTCTGTAGAGAAAAATACCTTGTGTGTTAAGCACCGGTTCAGTTCTTTGTTCCTATTGAGTAAATTGCTCTTGTCTGTAATAAAAATGGCATAGGTAGGTCTGAAAGCTGGGATTATCAAATCCTACCTGGAAAAAAATTTATGTCGAAAAGCAGTGCTCTCAAATTGTTAGAGCTAGATTTTAACATAAGCAATTAACTAGAATTGGGATTTTATGCGATATCATAAATGAGACTTAACTTTTCTTTTGGTCCTGAAGAATTTTTGAAATATATTGGAAATTATTTTAAATCTGAGATAGTGCTTAAAATTTTTATATGCTTGTATCCTTCTATTATGTTTCATTAATCCCCCCCCACATTTAACTAAAAAAACCCATCTAAAGATGGAAAGAATATAAATGTGAAATTAAAGTTAGTTTGATATGTTCCCGTATTGCATTTTCCATCGAAAATGTTCTGCTTTGTATTGTATCAGCATGAGAAAAGTCTTACAGATCTGCATTATTCTGGATTTTTGGTTTTCGTGTTCAGCACATAGGGTCTTTGAGTGCAGTTACTAATTCTTACCATTCCTGTTACATGTTTTGTGGGAATACTGACATATAACATATAGTTAGCCTCCTTTTCTCCTTCTTCCCAGTATTTGGTAGAGTTTTATTCTTAACTGTGGACAGGCATTCTTGTTTTCTTTGACCCTGTCTTTTACTCTGTATCTGAGAGATTTTCTTACAGTTCTTAAAACAGGAGAGGTTGGTTACATGAAGTACTGGCTACACCTCTTACATTCTGCTTGCAATGGCACTTTAGCTGGAGGTCTTAAAATTAAAAAAAATACCTTTTATAATGTCTCAGGGATGGGGAGGAGCTAAAAATCAGATCTGAATAATTTTATTTTTAAAACTATGTAATCTTACAAACAGCATCTTTTCATGCATTAACGCCTCCCTGCCCCACCCTGTGCTGAAATCAATGTACCTTGGTAGCGATGACGAGCTGCTGTAGAAAATGCCCCCTGAAAAAAAAAAAGAAAAGCCCCAACAACTAATCCGCTGTAAGCTCCGCAAGCCTGCTTAATTAATGAGGCTTCATCTGTTTGATAAATTTAAGTTCCCTGTATATTTGTCTAAACTACCGAAAAGAAAACATTGTGACAAGTTCCTGAAGGAAAACCTGCCTTAGGTAGCGATAGCATCGGCAGCGATACGATCAGAGTTTATAGTGGGCTCTGGGCTGTTTTGGGAAGGAACGGCTAATCCCGTTCCTCCAGGTGATCCGGGATCAGCGCTGTGGAAAGCGCTCAGATGGCTCCACAAAAGGCTTGTGGGGCTCAGCCGGGGCTGGAGGGGCTGCGGGCGCGGCGGCGGGGCCGGGGCCGGGGTGTGCCCGCTCCGCCGGCCAGGGTGGCCCCGCTCCATCGCCCCGGCCGCTGCCGCCAGCGAGGATTTCGTTTTCAAACTTAAAGGCAAAAGCAGCTCAAGTTTGAATGGTTATTTCTTTCCCTCTCCGTCCAAAAGGAAACGAAAATAGTTCTTTGGGGCAAGAACTAGACTTTTTTTTTTTTTTTTCCGACCCCCGGCTCACGAAAGGATATGAAAACTTGCTCGAAATGCTCCGAGCCGGCGTTGCAATCTTTCGGGCAACTCGAGCGGGTAGCGCTAACGTTTTTAGGAATGCGTTCCCGAAAAAAATCCTGCCAGTATTTCTCAGTCGTCCCGAGCAAGCTTAAAGCGAAATAGCTGCGGGGAATCGGGCAGAGCTTCCTTTTGGGAGAGGGGGCTGGGGCAGGGAAGGAGATCGGCAGAGAGCGCCCGGGTGCCGGTGTAGGATCGGGTGGTTTCCTGACGGGTTCCCGCTTATCTCCTGGTCTGACTATGCTGCGGTGCAATTATATGCTGTACTTAAAAATCTGGGCAAAAACAAATGTTTGTTTAAAAAAAATATCGACCGGTTGCTCTAAATGGCATTAATTATTCAGGGTAGATCTATACTTCCTTCGTGTCAAAGTCAAATGGATAGCGCGTTCTCTCTGGGCAGCGAAAGCAAACAGCGGTGGATTTTTAAAACAAAACGCAGCGCTCGAGATTTACCGGGGAAAAATAGAAACAAAGAATACCATAAGAAAAAAAAAAATACAGGGGAAAAAAAACCCGACTGTAGGGTAGGAAAGGGCATGCTGTAACTCTGCTGTAATTCTGTGGCGAGCTGCTGTGCGATGCTTCATATATTTCAAGATTTAGAACAGAACCTTAGAGTAACAGAAATATAGCAGATGTTGTCACATGCTGAACTACAGAATATATAAGATTTTTTTTAAATGCACTTTTTTTTAAATGGAAACTAGAAGGAGGTTTAGAAAACAGCAGTCAATATGCTGAGTTAAGGCTTGGGCTAGGTGTTGCATTTAACCTATCTTTACATCTCGTGGTTTCGTTTATTTAAAAAAATATTCCTTCTGAGGTTCAGAAAGAATGTATTTGCCTAAATTTAAGAACCATTCACAAAAAGTCAGCGTAAAGTTAAAGTAATATTTTTATTACTATTTGCAACAAGTCAGTTGTGGGGCACATAATCTGACCTTGGCACCGAAATACATTTAACATCAGTAAAACTTTTTTAAAGGGAGATTTGTACATATAGTTAAATAATTTTTTCACTTGGTGACAACATTCAGGCAAACAAGAGAGCATAAGAAAAGGACTATACATGGATTGGAAAATGTACCTTTCGGGTTTCGTTTTGAAGTTGCAAAAGTCCGATCGCTTCTTTTTGTGACCTTTTAAAAATTCACATTGGAGGACAGGAGGAGAGACGCTCTTCCCTTTTTCTGTGCAAGGCGGTGAGAGTTTATGCCGGGAAAACCGTCGGCAAGTTTTTAAAGGCCGAACTGCAGGTGGGTGGGGGGGTGGCGGGGGCGAGTGTCTTTCGCCGCCTCTTTCCGTCGTCGTTCGCGTTAAATAGAAAGTTTTTTAGGCGCTGTTGTTGTTTACGGAGGGCGAGTTTTTGTGCGCGGGCCTGCTAACCCTATAGCTTGTCGAGGCTTTTGGGATTGGTGAGGATTTCTCTGGCTAGCCTCCAGGTCTGTTTGGCAGCGCTTTCCAGGGCCGAGTGGGGTTTGCCCTGAAAGAGGTCTAGGTTGGGCAGGAAGTAGTGGGGGCAGCGCCGGCACTGCAGGCAGGAGATGAGCTGCAGGAGGATGCCGTTCAGCCTGTCGCCCAGGCACGCCTCGTCCCAGTCGGTCTCCCGCGGGTGTTTCTCGCACTCGTACAGCAGCAGCGTCTTCATGTGGTAGTTGTTGAGGGGCTGCCCGGGCAGCTCCAGGTGCCGGTCGCGCAGCGTCTTCAGCACCGACAGGCACTTGTTCCGGCAGCCGCCCATCAGCAGCCGGTTCTCGGCCTCGCCGAACTGCAGCACCCACGCGTCGCTCTCGGCCGAGCTCTGTTTGCCCGTCAGCGAGTAGCACTCCTTGGAGAGCAGGTTGAAGCCCTCCGCCTTCACCTCCGCCACCCGGTTGGGGCCGGGCCAGGGGATGTGGGGCATGGGCCACTGCGCCGCGCTGCGCGGCCAGATCCCGGTGCACTTGAAGGCGGGCGTGATCTGCACCACGTAGCGCTCCCGGATGCGGAGCTTCACCTCGCTCGTGTCCGCGATCATCTTCACCACGTCCCGGTAGCTGCACTTGTCCACGGCCTGAGCCACCAGCGTCTGGAAGCGGGAGCGGATCTTGCGGGCGGACAGGTAGCCCGAGGCGGTGATGAACTCCACCCAGAGGGACATGCTGCGCTTGCGGCCGTCGCTCAGCTTGAGCACGGCGCAGCCCGGCAGGGAGCCGTCGTCCACGAAGTTGAAGACGCCCATCTGGTTGAGGTAGAGCACCACCTCGAACTCGGTGGGCGAGATCACCTCCAGCCCCTCGTAGCGGGCGTCGATCTCGCTCAGGGAGCTGATGAAGCGCGGCTCCTGCACCTCCACCTCCTTCAGCACGTCCGACACGACCTTGCACACCTCCCGGATGGTCTTGGCGATGGCCGCCTTGCGCGCCTGGCAGCGCTCCGTGTAGTATTTGTTGAGCTGGTAGACCAGCTTGGCCTGCGCGGCGATCATGTTGGGGCACAGGTCCGGGCTGTACACCGGGCTCTCGCAGTACGTTGAGGGATCCAATGCTTTAGCGGTGGCTGCAGCTTTGCGGAAGGCACCAGCCAAGTCGCAGACCCCCACCGCCTCCGGGAAGAAGGCGGCAGCGGCGCGCCAGTGAGAGCAATTAAAGAAATCGGGGAGGGCGGCGAAGCGCAAAGGAGCGAAGCCCAGCGCTGCCCCGGCGAGGAGGAGGAGGAGGAGGAGCGGGCCGGTGCGGGCTCGGCGGCGGTGCTGGTGCTGGTGATGCCGGAGCCGCTGCCGGAGAGGCGGGCAGCCCCCGCGGGCTCCCGGAGCGCAAAGTTTTGGATGGCGATGGGGGCAGGGAAGTCTGGGCTGCCTCTGCGCTCAGGCGCCCACCCCCCCGCGCAGCGACAAAAATGCCGTTTCAATAGTTCATGGAAAAAAAAACCCAAAACAGCAAACAAACTTCCCCAGGACTCGCAGAACGTTCCCGCAGAAAAGCCGGTCGGCGGCGAAGTTTAAAACAGCACACGGTACGAGAGGAGGAGAAGAATGTGAGCAATGCCCTCAGCGGAAGAGTGAACTCTGTCTGTCTGTCTGTCTCTCTCTCTCTCTCTTTCAGTCCGTGGCACCGCCAGAGATGTGCATGAGTTTGGCTGCCGCTCGCTCAGACTGTCAGGGGGTGTTGTTGATTTCCCTTTTCCTGCTGGAGGCGTTGGCTGAACCCGGCTCTGTGGCTGTCTCTATCTTTAGGCGCAGACGGGTGCACTTGGTCTGGGATCTCTCATTCCCGTCCTGCAGCTCTACATAGACTGTTGTGAGAGAGACTGTATGGAGAGGAGTTGTTGCTTTTTTTTGGTTGTTGTTTGTTTTCTTTGCACAGACTGTGTTTTATCCTGAGCCGGGAGGAGGGCGTAGCTGCCGTGCCCGGGATGGGTTCTCCTCCCCCTCCCCACCCCTGGAAGTGCGCGCCGGGGCTCCCAGTGTCCGCGCCTCTGGCTCCGCTCCTGCCGCGCCGTGTGCCCGCGTCCCTCTCGCGCCGCTGCCGCCGGGCCCTGTAGTTTATGAATGGGGCCGCGCGCGGGCGCGGGGCGGGGCCGCGCCGCCAATCGCCGCCGAGCTGTCAGCGCCGCGGCCAATCGCGGCACACGGCGCGCGCACACGCGCCCGCGCTCCCGCCCGCGGCCCCGCGCCCGCTCCGCGCCGGGGCTGGAGCCGGGATGGGCTGCAGGGAGCCGGGATGGGCTGCAGGGCAGCCCGGCAGGGAGGCTCGGGGCGTCCCGCCACCCGGCGCGGGGCGTGTATGTGGGGGCGGGGGGGAGAGGAACAAAAAAAATCCCTGTAATTTCGCCGTGGCAGCCGGTGAAGGGCGAGGTGAGCTCGCTGCTCCCTCCGCTCGTGCGAGGGGACCCGGCGGCAGTGCCGGTGTGTGCGGGGAAAGGGGAGAGGCGGGCCGGGGCTTCACCGCAGGCATAAATCTCATTTCGCTTAATGCCGGGCTGCAGCAGTGAAAGTGAGACCGTCACCGGAGTAGCGTGGCACACCTTGTTTTACTGCCCCCAGTCACCTTAATTTAGATAAATCTTGTGTCATAAAGTTCTTTTCATCCTCCTAAAGCGTAGGATTGAGTTATTCAAAAGGAAACGATATTTTATGCAAGTTTGTATTAATAAGAATATGGAATGGTTTGGACATAAAGCCGTAGCTCCGTGGTGTCAGGTCGGAGGAAGCCCCGGGGCAGTCAGTACCTGCCGCGGAGGAGCCAGATCTGCTTTTCCTGCGGGAATTTAGGATGGAAGGGAGGGCAGTTTCCACACCTCCAGTGCTCGGGGCAAGGATGCCTAGCTGCTTTGCCCTCCCCTGGGCCGTGCAGTCCCGCGGTGCGGGGCGGCTCTCGCCGCCCGGGAGCCCCGCCGGGGCCGGGGCCGGGGCCGTGCCCGTGCAGACGCGCGGTGCGCTCCTCCGTGCAGAGCCTCCCAGTAACCCGGTGGGGCTCGGTTCCTTGCGCTCTCCTCCTTTCGCTGCAGCTGACTGATTTTAATAAAGAAAATACCGCCGTCTGTTTTCTGTGTGCGCTTAAATTAGAAACATGTCTGGTGCCGACCGTACCGCTGGAAGAAGTAAGTATAGACGTGCCCGGCGCCGGTGCGGCTCCGTCCTTCGCGAGGAGAGTATCGGCTCCCTGTTTCCCTGCCTGCCGCCGGGGCACTCTGCACCAGGGGATGGAGGGGCTGGCCCGGCGGCCCGCGGTGCCCGGAGCTGGCGGCGGTGTGAGGTGTCCCCGCCAGGCCCGGCCCCGTCGGGAGGGAGATGAGCCCAGGGAAGGCTCCGAGGGGTGCGGGAGTGCGGGAGAGGGGACAGGCTGCCACGAGGGCAGAGGGGGCTGGCGCCGCTGCTCTCACGGTCCCTGGGTGTCCCGGCGATGCGTGGCTGGAGCGGGGCTCTCCCCACGAGGCGAGGAGGGTCAGTGCCCGCGGAGCTGGCCCCGAGCCGCGCTCGGAGGCTCCATTAGCGGAGTGCTCTGCGCGGCTCGGCTGGCCCCGCGGAGCTGCCAGGGTCCCACGCCTCGCCTCCCGCTGCCCTCCGCAAAGGGAAGAGTTACTTAGGGCTGCGGGTCCCTTTCACACGCCACCGTCAAAGCTCCCGGGGCGTACTTGCTGCCGGGCTGGCACCGCTCTCCGCGCCGGCGAGGGCTCTGCACATCCGCCCTCCGAGCGGAGGTGGGCAGAGGGCTCCGCGGGGTCTCGCTTCCCGCAGAGAGCCCCCAGCCTAGGGGTTACGTGTCCTGGGCACGGAGGAGGTTGCCGGAGCCTTCAGGCGGCCCTGGCAGTGGCGGGGGCACACGCGTTCCTTTTTTCAGGGTAAAAGCAGGAGGAGAGGGCGATTCCCTTCCCACCCCCCCGAAAAGGTGCCTAATGATGTAGCGTTACCAGTGTTCAGATTTAAAACAATTCATTACCAATTTTCCTGCCTGAGGTTGAAGCCCTAGTAAATAATAAATCAGCTAAACAAAAGCTGACTTTAATTTATTGCCCCAACGCTAATTAGAAACATCATTTGAGCAATAAACTTAAACACTTCCAGCAAATAATGCACGTGAAATCCTTCTCTCCCGTGTCTGGGCGTTTGTGGCCGCACTGCATTAAGACCAGCTTCATCTGTGGTGGAATTTGCTCTCGCCGGGATGAATAATTGAAGGGGGAACAGGATCCGAGGAGGCTATAATTGAAGAGCCCTTGTCACCTCTGCTTTTATGTATGTTAGTGTAGAAGTCCATCAGCAGCTCCTTGATGGTGTATAAAACGAAGTGGCATCCCCTCCAGCAGCAGGAGATACTGTATTCCATTAAAAAAGACCGTGTGCGTGCGTGTGCCGCAGAGAGGGAAACTCTCAGGGCTAAAAGCCACTTGAAGTCTTCAGACCGATTGATCTGTATTCTCTCGTTATAATCCGTCTCATCATACTTGAGTTAATGAGGCAGGGGCGGGGGTGATCTGATGGTCCTTGACAAATTCATTAGGGAGGCTGCGGGACATTTTATTTGACTGTTAAACATCGTGTTTGTTTGGTTTAAGCGGTGCCAGCATCAGCATGCCGCTGCCTGGAGCTATAGTGTTTTGTTAGCGAGGGCTTCTGTAAAAAGATACTGGGAAGGGGACGCGGTGTGCAGTGTTTGCTCTTGCCTTGGCTCCTCCTGCCCCCTCCCGCTCGTACGGCAGGGAGCTCGGGCGGGTGTAAATCCAGCCGTGCAGGCAAGGGATGTGCCACGGTATTTTCTTCACACTCAGGATGGCAAAGTAGCAGCGAAGGGCTGCCATTAAGACCTGTTTTTCTTTTCCTTTTTCTTTTTTTTTCCCATCAAGAGAACATTTTGGGTTTGTGTTAACCGCTGAAACAACAAAAGAAAAAAAGCTGGAAAGCAGCTCAGAGTTTTAGCAATAAGCATGCAAGTTTTTTGCTGCGTTATGATATAGCATACTTTCATTTGATTCCCTAACCAGCTTATTGACGTGGCACACGTTAAATATTTCAGTCTTTTAATAATGACTGGTGTATTTTAAAGTTTCTATTACATGCTACTGATATAAGGTGTAATTTTTAAGGTAAATCAAAGTTTAATCAAAGTGACTTAAGGCTATTAAAGGATTTCTGCCAAGCCTGTCCTTTGTCTCTCCCTTGCTGAGAGGCAGAGGGAAAACTGAATTCAGGAGCAGGTGCTCCCAAAAGGGCTGAGAAGTATTTTTAAGAATAGCATATGAAATATGTATGTGTTTGTACATGCTTTGTTCGTGGCAGCTTTGCTGATGAGACCCAGCTAGCATGCCATTATTTTCTAGTAGTTGGTTTCCTCTCTGTCCTTTCATTTAATGGAAACAGTTTTGCAGAAAACGGAATAATTAATCTGCTTGTGGAACCTAGCATTGTGTTATTTTTTTCCTGGAGATCAGTCTTCAAACATTCTCAGCTTTAAGTGCTTTGTAGGACTCTGCTTCCATTTATAGAAGAACTGTATGGGAAAAGAGCTAGTGCCCTTTGCCTGTCATTTTCATACATTCCTGCACTGCTGATGAAGCTTGAACTGCTGCAGGGAATGTATGGATTTGAAAAGAAATGATTCAGTAATGCACGTTGCGTTTCTCCACCACAGAACCGGGTTAATAGTTACAGCCAGGGCTGTGCTGTGTTTGAGGGATAAAATTCCTTTTGCATTCGATGGTGTATAGTGTGTACCTTTTTCTGGGAGTCATGGCTTGGCTTTAGTATCTGCTGATCTCTTTTAAGGTCCGTGTGTATGAGATTAGTTAATGGCACACACTGGAGGAGTAAGGATGATTTCATTTTTACCAATGTCATTAATGTATCTTATCAGCCTAAAGTGTTGTAGAAATCTTGTACCTTTTTTTCCTTATGAAGATTGAGTGGTATGGTAATTAAAGAATTCATACATGTTTTTAAGTCTCCCCTAGCTTTCATTTCTTTAGCAGGAGAGGGGGTGCTTCCAGCTA